AGAAAATGTTTCATGAATAATCTTCAACTAGACATTAGCGTAGTTCAACGAAGAGTCTCTTTTTGGTGGTGAATTCATTTACTTAGTTAGCTGTACAATCGCAGTTATATCTACAATTATTCTTGCTTGTGTGTACATTGGGTTTATCCTAACAAGAATACAAATTAGTTAGGGTTATTGTTGTTGTTGTTGTTAAGACATTTCAAAAATGTGATGAGTTATCAAATTGTAACTAGAGGTGGGGGTGTGAAGCCCAAGTTAGAGGGTATTGGTGATGTTTTGTCAAAAAATAACATAGTTATTTATGTTAATCAACGCATACAAGAAGTTGAATAAGCGTAATGCAGTCACGTAATAAGGTGAATAGTTTAATGAGTGAGTTGTCATTAGGATGTACACAGAAACGAAGGGAAATAAGAATAATAATCATAATTTTTGCTTTATTCCAAAAACAGTACTAATGATACAGCAAGGAATTTTCAGCATTCACTACAATATTCCATCTAGTTTACTCAAAACGACAAAAAAATAATAAACATTACATAATAATAATAACGAAACGTTGTTATACCAGCTATGTAGCAAACTACTGTATGCAATACGGAGAAAAATATTCATAAAGTATAAAATTACAGTAATAATATTAATAACAACTAAAATAAAATAGCTACGTTATAATTAAACAATAGAAAGGGTGACACCATAAAATTACAGAAAGATGAACGAAAGATGAACGAACGATGAAAGAAAGGGTCGATTCACTTTGCTAATTACATAGTAACTTCTTATATGTTTCACGTCTACCAGTGTCTTCATCACATAAAATACGGGCTAAATAGGGTATTGTAGAATTTCTGTACTTAGTGGTTCGAGCATATAACTTCCTCTTATATTAACTTCTGGTCCTACCTGATGAGATGCAAGGGGATAGTTGTGAATAAAGAGGGAGGGGTGGTGCAGGGGGTGTGACAGTACGGCCTTTTCCCATTTTGTACAGAAATTTATGTGTCTCTCGACTATAATACTGACGAGCTCACGCAGTAGCATACCACAAGGCCTACTCACAGCATTTAATACCTTTTGTAGTGTGATAAAGTCTTTTTTGAGAAACCCAGGAAAGATTAATGGAGAGCAATAGAACTATGTAAGAGTTCCAAAATTTACAAATGTTATAAAGGGTTGGAAAATAAAAAAGCAGGTCAGTAGAAGTCAATACGGTTGTTACCATGATAGTAGAAATGGTTGGACGACTTTCTTTTGTACATTTAACTCTAGTCTTTTCCAAATGAATGGCTAAGGCTTTAGAAATGCAAAGGAAACGAAAGCGTATTGCCTTTGATAGGTTATTCTTCACTTTGTAGGTCACTTTGAAGGAGGTGTTTTTTGAGATGGAATGGTTAGTATTGACAGGGTGTCCCTTTATCGCACTCCTTATACAGCCATGGGGGATAGTGCTCACGAACCATTTCGGGTAGGATATTCATTAAACGACCACTACAACAATAGGTGAACTGATATATGCACACAGAAGTGGTCAGATACGAGATCTTGTCCTTAAGGCTTCCGGAGACCAGTGGACGACTGGAGAGTTACTGCAGATAATTATGATAATGTACGTTTTAAATAGGAAAGAATCCGAATCTTAGGATTGTTTCCTGATTTGTTGGAGATATGAACTGCTATTTGGTCCATTTGCTAACCAGTCGAGAATCCACTGGTCAATAAATAGAGAAGGAATGAACCTATGCTAGGATGACTTTCAAGTAACACCACACAGTAGATCGAGCCTCGAGTAGATCCCGGGTAAGAAGCGCAATTGGTTGGGTATGAGTCTGAGAAGCGGGTGTCGGGATGGTGGTCATAAAGCCAGTTTGAAGTGACGACAAGGAACCAAATGGAATGTTTAAGTTATACACAGAACTACACCAGTATGAATCAATGACAATCACAGACAAATTTTAAGGATATCTGCCTGATTCCCATGAAATTCAGGCAATATAACTTAAATTTCCTCACTTAATCAAAGTCCAACGTGTATACTGTCTCCGTCAGATACTTTCTATTAAGAAGTTTATTGTCAATTTTTAAATCCTATAAACACAAGAAAATCATTCTAATCGCAAATTACCGTTTTCTTTAGAAACTAAAAAGTATTCAGATTACTTTAAGTCGTTTGAATTTATTTAGCTTCTGTAAGCTGAATCAGATGGGTCATACCTTTCATGACCTCGGCTTTTGAGTGAATAAAACGGCCATTCGATGTTTAAACCACTTCGATTTTTGAGGTAGAAAGCACCATTATTTTTTATGCGAATAATTTTAAACTACTTAAATGAATCAGCAAGTAGTATTATACATCGTTCAGGAATTTTCACCTTCTAGAATGGACTGAACATTGAAAAAAATATCTTTTAATGTGCATTCACGACATGATTTAGAATGTTTGTTGTTAAAATTGTTTTCTCCATTCTCCTTCTGTTATGTCTTTTTTTTCTGAGTAAACTTCACTGTATGCAGCTGAATTTGTCTTCAATATTATTCATGTGTTTAGACCAGGTGATTTCCGAAATTGAGGTTCTATGAGTTAAAATACGATACTGTAGAGGATATTTTCACTGTCAGTCAATCAATCATTGGTTAAGTACTTCAGTTTTTTCTGAATCAATAATACTGAAAAATATTTCATTGGTCTTCAAAATTACAATATTTACTGCACCTACAATCAAAATCCCTAAAGAACTTAGAATGGGGATGGCAGTTTCTACTGGTAGTGATCTGTCAACCTTTAACTCGAACACTTCACTGAGTAACGTATTTGACTGTGGCACTGGGTGTTTAAATCTCAGTATGATCAAAAACTACTTCCCTCAAGGTTGCGGATGTAGCAGTGGCAATAGAATCGAAGTCTTGAAGTTTTCAATGAATAGCTGTCGAATGCATCACAACATCAATAATTCACGGTAGTGGTATATATCACGAATTAACAGAATTCTGCAGCCGATGAACCTTTTGACCTAAAGATTCTGTGTTCGACTCCTGACAGGTTAGGTTTGTGATAAAAATCTAAATTGAAATTAATTAATACTTTGCAATTAATAGTGTTCCTTTGAGCAGCTGGTTGGTTGGTTTAGTTGCAGAGCTCCTTTCGTCGTCCGTCCTTCTGGACAACATCTCCTTTCAGCATAATATTTAGCATAAAGTGAAATCATTTAAATTTTTTCTCAAGAGTGGTGATAGAATTGCGTCTCCCGGTAACAACCATCTTCACATATGTGTATTGATCATTTTCGATTGACTTGGATTTTAAACTTTCTCGTCAGACAATTTACTATTTATTATCAGCTGTGAAAAGACATGATATATATTCTTTCATATCAATGCATATAGACAATTATGGACATCAGTTTGATTGGGATAATGTCAAAATGTTAGACAGAGGAAACACCAAAAGTGCAGTCAGGGAATTCCTAGAAGCTTGGCACTCAAATGAATCAGCAAGCGATTAACAAACACGTTAATATAGACCAAATCTACCAACTAATAAAAAGTAAATCAGGTGGCGCAATTATATCACTCATAAAAAATTTAAATCATTTCACTTTATGCTAAATATTTCGCTGAAAGGAGATGTTGGCCAGAAGGACAGACGACGAAAGGAGCTCTGTAACTAAACCAACTAATCAGTTTAAAGAATACTATTAATTGACTGTCACTGCCAACTGTGTAGACATTTTACTTTCTGATCTTGTCTAACTAGTCTTTACTCGAATCTCCTACTCCATCGATCAATCAGTCAATCAATCCACTTTTCCCATTCCTGTCTAACTTCATCATAGATATGCTAATGGAAGTATCCTTAACTGAACGTTACGACTTAGGAATCGACTTGTTACCAGGGAATAGTCTTATGGACTTAGAATATGCAGATTACATAGTCCTGTTAGGGGAGGATGCTGACAAAATGTAGAGGCTTCTGAACACCTTGAGCAGCAATCTTCGTATGTTTGGCATGCGATTCACCTCCCATAAAATGTAAGATGCTGCTACAGGACTGGACTACGTCAACTCCTAGCTTAGTGATAGGGAGTGAAGTGATAGAACATGTTGACCACTTCACCTATTTGGGAAGTTGTATCGCCACTAACGGACTGATTGACGACGAAATCTCAGCATGGATCCAAAAAGCTCGAGCTACTTTCGCTGACTTACACCATCTCTGGCGTAGGCGTGACATCCGGCTGGCTATCAACCAAAGGACGTGTGTATTGTTCAGCAGTTTGCTCCGTCCTTGTCTATGGCTCTGAAACATGGCCAATACGCGTTGAAGACATGAAAAGGTTGACTGCTTTCGATCATAGATGACTGCGATCTCTTTCCCACGTTAGGTGGTTAAATAAGGTTATTAATGTTGACGTTAGGCGTAGAGTGTTGGGCAAAGAGGGAAAATCAATCGACGAGGCTATAAAGTTACATAGATTGAGATGGCTAGGTCACGTGCTGCGCATGCCTAACCATCGCCTCCCCCGACGACGGGCATTACTAGCTGATATAGGTGGTGCAGGTTGGAAAAGAGTAAGTGGTGGCCAAACAAAAACATGGCATCAATCCATGAAATCCTTGACAGTTAAACTGAGTCAGGTAGGGAGATGCAGACTTCCGAGTTGGGGCCCTCGGGACTCTAAAAATCAATGGCTAGAGACAATAGGTGACATGGCTCAAAATATTTGTCAATGGCGCAGATGTATTCAATCTCTGTAATCTTTCATATTCCTTTCTACCATTACCCATTCTGTTTCACTCTTATACTTGTCAAACTCTGTTGATTCTCTTCACTCATCTTCTTGTCTACCTCTGTGTGCTATTTGGAAGGTGGCAACTCGAATTGCTGCACTTCGGTGCCAAGTTCTATGTTGAATCCAGACAGACAGACAGACAATCAATCATATTGAAAGAAAAAAAATCTATGCAAAATCAAAATCATTAGAAACTTTCTCCGACACATTTATTATCACTAATATTATAAATAACAGTGTTATATTTATAGAAGTATTAGTAATAGTAGTAGTAGGTGTAGAAGGAGTGTAGTAGGGATAGAAAGAAATCTCTAACATTACTTATTCATTACTCACCCACTACATAGAGTGTTAAAGATACAGTTAAACCAACGAAAATGACGATGATACCTCGTTCTGAAGAGAAACAAGTTCCTGTGCAAAGAAAAAGAAGAAGAAGAGAAAGATTGTCATCCCATCTATGACCTCCGTGATGGTGATGATGATGATGATGATGTTGACGCCGATTTTTATTCTGCCCTGTAACGATTGTAATAAGACGATGCGTCTGGTTTCTCCTCACCACCAATCATAGGAATAAGGCTGGCTAATTTTTTAAGTATAGTATATGAAGTAAGTGAGCCATGATGTGAATGTGTTGAAGGTTGATAATGGGGTGGTGGTGGTGGTGGCGGTGGTGGTGGTGGATGGTGAGGATGTGGTGCCGACATCGATGGTGGTGATGGGGGTGGTGGCGGTGGAGCAGGATAAGAATGATGGTGATCATGATGAGGATGGTGGTGGGGTTCATGATGACTGTGATGTGGATGTGAGTGTTGTTCATGTGTCTTTTCTGGTCTACCATGACCGTCAGAATGTCTATGTATTTCAAAAGTTGTTTCACGTTTATTATATTGTGATAAATCATGTTCACCTCGTTCAGGATGTGAATGTGACTCATGATCTCTGCCCTCCGGTTTATACCGCGGACCAAACTTAAACGATAATGTAGGATATTGTGTGTGTGTACCAAATGGGATTGATGCAGTCGCATGATCTTTTGGTGCAGCAGATGATGGGGACATCAAAAATGATCTATGCGGTGTAGTCTGATGCTTTTCAGATGCTTCCCTTTGTTTCTTTTTATCATTTTTAATCTTTAATAATTTAAGTTGTAATTTCGTTACAAATTGTTCCTCACAATTCACTTGTTTATCATAAATACAAGTTAAATAATCATTCAGCTGTTCATAAATCCATTCTGATGGTAATATCCAATCTTCTACATCTTTTGGCTTATGATTACTAACAGGATTCCCTTCGAAATATTGATCATAATTATGTGTAAACTCACCATGATGTGGTGATGGCGATGCATAGTGTGTGTGGTGTTTAGCTTTTTCAGTTGACAGGGAATAACCTTGACGAGATAAGTCAGTGATTGTGAATTTTGCAGCTTCTATTACCAGATGACCGCTTGCTGACATATTCGCCTTCACTGAAACATTCGACATAGTTTTACCGGTATGATTTGTAAAATTCATTGTATGCAATGTCCTATTTGTATTTGTTTGCATTAATTGACCATGAATAATTAAAACAAAGCATGTAAGCCATGAAAGTAATATATTCAGATGAAAATTATTATTATTATTAAAAGTTAATTTCATTTTATTATTATTTCACTTGTTAAATAAATGTGTGTATTTTGAACAAATATGAGAAATAGTTAAAGATTGAGTTTAATGCGGAATTTTGATTTTTAAATCTACGCAAAAATGGCCTTGACTAATGATTGATTAAAACAAATTGGTGATGTCAATGCACTTTAGGTTGGAAGTCATCAAATTATACTTATGCACTTATTGTTTTTTTTTCGAAGTTAGGCTTTTTTTTCTTTAAAAAATGATATTCCACTTGGTAATTTATCGATTATTTATCAGGAATTAAATTTTATGATGTAAACATTGTTCGTGCATTCATGATTGATTTCATGTCTTAAGTTCATTAGAGAAAATTGTTTATAAAACATATTGTGATTGAGTTTTGTCGGAGAGAATTGAAGTCAGACGAATGGTATGATCACCAATTCGGAAAACTGATGGTGTTTAGTTGGCCAAACTATAATATGACATCAGTCAGTGAAATATTTGTCTACTCATTCGAGTTATGTAGTATTGTGGTGAGAACTGGCTGTAAGCAAAAACTGTAGACAACAATTTACGTCAATGTTTACATCCCGAATCAGGGTCATGAGAAAAACAATAACAACCGATCACACCCGACTTAACGTGTGTAAATACGATTCTCAGATGTATGGATTATGTTTTTGAGAAACGGTCACAAGCAGTAGATGACAACCTTTCCCAAGAAAACAACCAATTAAAAGACGTTGCTTCTCCAATGACAATAATGTACATAAAAATCTACAAATACCTCTTGATTTTCTGAATAAACGATCTGTTTCCTGGCCTTTGTCTTCTGTCGTAACAGTATGTAGCTTTGTGCATATGTTGCAGGTTTGAACCACCTCACTAGGATCTCAGAGGCGTTAAGATTCCATGATTAGTATATATATATATATATATATATATATATATATGTATATGTATATTGTAAAACCGACTAGGGAGTACTGGAGATCTGTTTCATCCCATTGTGAGGCTCTTCACAGCACTCACCCACCTACCGCCAGGATTCGAACCCACGATCTTCTAGTTACAAGGTGAACTCGTTGATCACTAAACCACTGGGACCCAATCCAGTGGCCAGATAATGGATTCCAAATTCTGTCAATTCACGACGTTGCGTAACTGGCACTAGCTGATGCCATCAGTAGCGAGTATTTGTCCTAACACCCGACGTTCTGTACCCCACTGGTCATGATTTCTCATGATCTCAATATTCCCTATGATGTTCAATGTAAAGTGCTGTAGAATTTAAAATGAAAATGAAGTGCTCATATGGTTCCTCTTGGTTTTCACAGTACAGTTGAAGTGTTGCACTAGGGGTATAGAATCACATTTTCAGAAATCTAATTTATGAATCATCCGATTTTTCCGACAAAGAATCCCATTTCACTAGGCTGACCTAAATCAGATATTCACTAGTGGAAAATTTCGTTGGACACAATAGTTCACACCTCCGATTCGTAGAATTTAGGATTATTTCAATAACGATTTCTCGAAAAACTGAATGAACGAGTTACATATGCAGTACTATGACTATCAAAATTTTAATTTTATCAAAATAGTTTGCCTACTTATACTCTTTGTAAGTAGTACATATGAATTAAGAAAAACGAATTAGTTCTTTTTGTGATTCTAATATCCAATAAGGTTTTTTGAATGTAATTTAGATCCAGGTTAAATTCTGTCTTAGTCCATTATTCCTATTCGGACAGTTTGGATTCCATCTGACATGAAATACTTCTGGTATTAGACCTTTTTTGTGATTGCTGGAATTCTTCTGGATTATTTCAGTATTGGTTGGAGGATTTCATCGTGAGCTGGTATCTGTTAGAGAACTATTGGAAAATCCCCAGAGAGTACTGGACTCTTAGAACTCTTCATCAGTACTCACCAACCGCGGTCAGGACCTAGGATCTTCTAGTCACAAGCTGAGCTCTTAGACCATTACGTCCCTGGGACCCTACCCAATGGCCTATGAATTCTTACTTCTGCCAGTTCATGAAATAGGGCAATATACCGACATAAAATAGTGCTGAACACTCCCAAACTAGGCTGACGAAACAGCTATTCAGTACTCCCTGCAGGTTTTCCAATGGCTTTCTAACTGATGTCAGCTTATGATGAAATCCTCTAGCTAATCAAGCAAAATACCCACAAAACCAATCATTAAATATCTCAGTATTGTCAAAATCAATTTCGCGATCTCATTCTATAACTGATAGATTTATTGCTTGTGATTTTTCAAGCCTTTCTAGTTCAAATGGATTTCTTGATAGTTGAATAGAAACAGCCCCACGGTGTTCGTTTCTCCTGATTTTGATTTCTCGCGAGGTTCGTCCAATATATATATCGCATCACGTTCTAAGGAAAATTAGATTGTGAATGTCTAGGAATTTGGTCTTTTACATGGACGAGGCTGCTTTGTAGTGTGCGTGTCTCATGCTCTGAAGAAAACTCTAATCTTGGGCCTACTGTCTGTCTATCTATCTATTTTCAACGTAGAACTTTGCACCGATGTGCAGCAGTTCAATTCGTCATACTTTACTCAGCACACAAAGCAAAAGAAGAAAGTAGAAGAAATGCAAAATAGAGACAGTAAACAGGGATATGAGACAAAAGGAATAGTAATAACAAAAAAACAATATAGTTTCATTCGAAATTATAAGTCACAAAGAGTCGATACATCTGCGCTAGCCATTGAGAACGATTTCGAGCCAATATCATCAATTGTCTCCAGTTTTCATTGGTTCTTACCATCCTGAGGACCCCAACCAGGAAGTCTGCAACTCCCTACGTGGCTAAAACTAACTCTTGTGAATTTCCTCATTGACTGATGAAGCCATGTTGGTTTCAGTTTGACCAGCAATGGCTCTTTTCCAACCTGACCTTATATCAGCAAACATTTCCCGTCAAGGAAGGCGATGGCTAGGTGTGCATGCGCAGCCCGTGTCCTAACCATCTCAGTCGATTTAGCTTCACAGCCTCGTCGATTGATTTCCCCTCCTTAGCTAGCACTCGACCGAAGCCTAACCTCAATACTGCTCACCCTATTATACTATTTCACACGGGAGATAGAACACAGGCACCTGTGATCAAAGACAGCTAGCTAGCTGGCCTTTTCATATCTTCCATTCCTAATGGCCAGCTCTCACAACCATAGAGGAGGATGGAGCGGACTGACGAGCAGTACACACGCCCTTTGGTCGATAGCCAACAAGATGTCATGTCCACACCAGAGATGGCATGTGCGAAACTAGCCCTCTATCGGTGCTGAGATTTCTTTAGCGATCAACCCGCTGGTGTTAACTGACGCAACTTCCCAAATACTTGAAGTGGTCAACACGCTCCACCAACCACTTCACTCCTTATTTCTAAACTAGGAGTCAGTGTAGTCCAGTCGTGTAAAATCATCTTACATTTGGCGGGAGCGAATTGCATGCCAACACATGTGCCTATTGAGTACTCTTCTGATACTGTCTGACGTTTCTGATCTATGTGGAATAACAACTGTTGAGGCCAATGTCTTCGGAATACGTGTTTTCAGCCATATTTAATGTCAGTGTTGATTTTGTTGATGAAGTTCTTTGGGAAGTTATTTTTCTTGGGCGTCTCAGTAATGTTTGATATTTCTTCTTCTTCTTGGTTTTTCTTTCTCATCTGTTATCAAAGAGTGCACCCGTTTAAGGAGGCTTGGAACAACTGATACCTTTTCACTGATGGGTAGTGATGATCCAAAGTCGAAATATTTGTTGAAATGTGTTTTCTTCCTGAATATAGACGTATATTAAAGTATCCATTTCCTTTCCTCTAAAAACAAGGTCGACTAAAAATGGTACCTCAGCAAAGTTTGATCCTCATTCCAAAGTAAACTGAATGCTATCAACACTAAATAGAGTGAAATGTCAGTAAAAACAATATCGTTTTGTATTTCTCATTCACTGGGAAGGGTAAAAAGACTTTATAGTAATCGATATTATATACCTAATGCCTAAAAATCTTTTCAAACTGTTGAAAATGAACTTGGTTTGGACATGCATATTATTATTATTGTTTCCTTTAATTCCTAGAGGAACATAGGGCTTCAGCTGCGCATCTCCATTGCCTTCAGTTTTCTGCTAGAGTTTTCGCCTGGCTCCAAGTCTCCCCACATGCTTTCATCTCCTCTTCACATGACCTCCTCCAAATCACCCTTGCACTGACGACCAACTCGCCGATTCCCATTCAGTCGGGTTCCACTCGAGCAATGGCTTGTCTAGTGATGTCACTCACTTGATGGTTTCCTCAGCGTATGGCCAATCCATCTCCATTTCTTCCTGCCTATTTGCTCCACAATCGGTTCTTGTTGTGATGGTCCATTGATTGCCAGAGATCCCTGTTGCTGATCTTTTCTGGCTGGCCATCTGATCTTGAGTATTGAGCGAAGACAACTGTTAATGAAGGTCTGAAGTTTGTTGGAGATGCTCTTTATGATGCGCTGGTCAAGTCTCTTATCCGTATAGCAAGTAGCACTGACTGACTTCACATTGGAGTTGAAAATCCGGATGTTACTTTTGATTCTGAGTGCTGTTAACCTCCACACAGACTTGACGAGAGTAATGAAAGCTTGTCTTGCTTTCCAGATTCTGGCTTTGATATCCTCGTCAGTTCCGTCGGCCTGCAGATGAAACAGTGCTTACCAGGTAGGTAAGTAAAGGAAGTTGTTTCTTTCAGGTTCTTCCCATTTATGGTGATTGTTGTCTGTTGCGTTGCTGTCGCTGTTGGCCAGGAATCTTTATCACCTCTCTTTTCTCTATATTCAACTGAAGTCCTATCTTTGATGCTTCTTCTCCCAACCTGTTTCTTTTCACTTGCATATCTTCCAGTTTGTGTGAAATCAGATATGAATGTATCATCGGCGAAATGCAGATCCTCCAAGTTTTTCATGAGGGTCCACTTTATGTCTGTCTCCTCGATGCCCACCGCTCTCTATCTGTCGCATTATCCAATCTACTGCAATTGGACATGCATAATATAATTTAAATCTTTTATACTTCACTATGAACCCAAGATGAAAATTTCATCACTGAAGTAAGCATGATAATTCCTTTGAAATGAAAGTCTTATCAACATAAGTAGAATGTATTTTTCAGATACACAGATTACACTGTATAAAACGAAGGTGAATCCATGAAAATACAAAACAATCAATGTGCCAT